AAAAAAAAAAAAAAAGAGTCTAGTCCTGCCTCTGACACTAACCTGTAAACTTTGGACAAATCATTCATGTATTTAAGAATTATTTTCCGTATCAACAAAGATTAGATATTGATCACAGTCTCTTATAAGTATAAATGTATGGGGTTTCACGAGTACCAAGAAATAAGCATGGAGAAGTAGTCTGGCTAGAGTCTTCAAAAGCAGAAGTAGTGGTCATGTGATGCTGTGGTCAGGGGGGGGGTCACTCTGAGAGAGGAAGTCTAAAGACAGCTTGCAGAAAGTGACTCCACAGGAGCGTCACAGGGTAGCAGAGTGTCCAATGACTCAAGGGAAGATTGCTTACCAAAGAGCCCCCATGGTACCTTAGCTGAGGACAAACAGCAACTGCAGAAAACAGAAATCCCCTGTCCAGCATCACCTTGCATAATGTGCTGAAGGACTGGTCCAGTGTCCTAAGAAAGTAGAGAAGTACGTATAGAAGGCTCAGAAATGACAATCTTCTGAATGGACTTCATGCCTCCTCCCTCCTTCCTCTCTAGTCCCTCTCCCACATTACCACCAGAGGGACCCTAAACTCAAATATGGTCCTCACCCTGGTAGGATGAAAAATCTGATTGCTTCTAGATATGGATATCGATATGGATATATGGTCTGCTCTGACTCCTCGGCTTTGTGTGCAGTTTCCCTTTCCCGGGACCAAATAATGCTCAACTTATATTCTTTGTTTTCTTCCTAACTCAGGGCCTTTGCACATGCAGTTTCTCCACCAGTAATAGTCTTACTTTATTCTCTACCTGGAGAATTCTTTCTCCTCCTTTCAGACCCAGTTCAATTGTTACCTTCTTGGTTGGAAGCTGTGTGTTGTCACTTATCCTAGGATTTTTAAAGATAGTGTTTACTATGTCTGTTTTTCCATGAGCTTGTGAACTTCTAGAAATGGATGTTTTGCAAGTGTAAAGAGATGCTATGGTAATATTTTTGTGAAGTGTGTAATGGTTAATTAAAATGAACCATTCAAAGCATGGGGCCTTGAAGAACTTTGAAAAGAATCCATAAAAGAACAGGGCTCTTGGGGCTGGGGATACAGCTCAGTTGGTAAAGTGCTTGCCTTGCCTGCACAAAGCCCTGGGTTCAATCCCCAGCAACACACACACACACACACACACACACACACACACGAACAGGGCTCTTCATAATATAAACAGACAAAATCTAAGAAGAGACAGGTTTGAGTTCAACAAAATTATGAAGAGTGAATAACATAGATAAGGAAAACTTTACCTATTAAATGATATACTCAGTACACAGTAAATGTCTCTTACGTGTCAGGTGCTCTGAATACAAGGGCAAACAAACGCTGCCTCATGGGTGTTTGCCTGTTCTTGCAAGTGCAGTAGATAGAAAGTCTTTGCTTTAAAAGTTTTAAGTAAGGGAATGAAATGATCTGATTGACATTTTGGGAGGTCATCCTGGCTTTTCTGAGAACAGACAAGCACATATAAGGGGCCACTGGTTGGGAAGCCATTGCATTAGATGAGATGACAAATAAAACTGATCTCCTGATCAGAATCACCTGGAAGGCTATTAAAACACAGATACATGAACCCCACCCCTCCAGTTTCTGATTTTATAGGTCTGGTGGTGATGTAAGTGGGAGGAGTGGAAAATTTGTCACCCAACAAGTGCCCAGAGGGTGGAGCTGATGCTGCTGATCCTGGAACCCCACTCAGCCCCCTGACCTCTACTGGGTGAGAGCAACGAAGCTGGGATGAAGGGCACCAGCTTCGGCTAACCTGGAAGTCAGATTAGAAAGACAGGTGGCACTGTCATTATCAGGACAGGCTGAATATTCACTATAGAAAGACTATGCATGTGTCCCCAGACCTATTTCTTTCTCCAGGTCTGATTTTATAAATGCCTGTGATAAACCAGATCTGATTTATTATATGCTCCTTTTGTGTGATCATATAATGGCTACAATTCTAGGTTATCTTTGATCAACCTTTAAAATTACACTAGAACAGCTAGTGGAATAACTTGCAAATAATCAGTGCTGAGATTTGTCTAAAGAAAGTGTAACCAAAACAGGGGAGTTTTGTGACTACCAGTTGCCATTAAATGTATTGTAAAATTACTGTTTTATTTTTTAAAACAATAAAAGATGTGTGACATATATAACCAGAATATATTAGGAGAAAGAGCATCCCTACAATACTGATCAGAATTTTCTTTTTCTCAAAAAAGAAAAACCATGAGGAAAGTCTGATCAAAAAAGGAGTATATGAAACTTGAATGAGATTAAAAAGACAAAGGAAACTAAAGGAGCCCCTTTCACATCAGAGGTAATAAATGTATGGGCATCATGTACCCTCCTCCTCACACTTACAAGTGAAAACAAGATTTTTTTCCAAACCGAAGTAATTCTGTGTCCTATGAACAGAAGTGTAGCTCCTAAAATTTGGTATCTTGTGAATGGCTATATAAGAGAAAGTAACTATACTTTTGCATTGTTAGACTCTTGGGGTTTCAGATGAAAAGAGAAATTGGATAAACAGACCCTGGATATAATCCAGTGTCAGTCAGTTTTGCATCACTGTGACCAACGTACCCAACAAGAACCACTTAGAGGAGAAAAAGTTAATTTTGCCTCATGATTTCAGAGCTTCAGTCCATGGCCAGCCAAATAGCCTGCTTTGAGCCTAAGGTGAGGCAGAACATCGTGGCTCAAGGGTGTGGAAGAGGAAAGCAAAGGTGTGGTAGATGAAAGTCCCATCATGACAGATGGGAGGCAAAGAGAGCTCGAGTGCAAGGATCCAAGGATAATATAATCCCCAAGGGAACACACCCAGTGACCCAATTCCTCCAGCTACACCCTATCTACAGTTACCACCCATTAATTTATTCAAATTTTTAATCCATCGAAAGGACTAATCCACTGATTAGGTTATAGCTCTCATAATCTAATCATTTGGCCTAAACATCCCTGCAATGTTCTCACACTTGAGCTTTCAGGGGACACCTCATAATCACACCATAATTGATTTCAGGCATCTCAGAAAACCAACCACTCACCCACCATGTCTTCTGCTCTGACAGCCAGCCACATGTCTCTCCATGTCCTAGAATGGACTCCTTACTTAGCAGCTCTCTTTGTACATTCAGGTTTTAGATCCAGTTATAGAACAAACACTCTATACTTCTACAAGCCAGTGCCTTGGAGACTCTGTCCAGGTTCTGTCTGTCTTCTGAATCAGCTTGGCATCTATATTTCTACCCTATTAGCAATTTTATTTTTGCCTCTTTGTTCAGCTTTCTTGTGAATTGAACCCTGTCCCTTAAAAATTTATATATCCAAATTATAATCCCCCAATAGCTCAGAATGTGTGATTATTTGGAAATAGGGCCATTGCAGCTATGTTTAGTTAAACAAAGATGAGAAGATGTGAGGGAAGGGGAGGGGGGATAGTAGGGGATAGGAAAGGTAGCAGAATACGACAGTTACTAATAGGGCATTATGTAAAATTGTGAATGTGTAACCGACGTGATTCTGCAATCTGCATTTGGGGTAAAAATTGGGAGTTCATAACACACTTCAATCTAATGTATGAAATATGATATGTCAAGAGCTTTGTAATGTTGTGAACAACCAATAAAAAAATTTAAAAAATTTTTTAAAAATTAAAAAAAATAAAAAATAAACAAAGATGAAATCATGGGGATGGGGCTCTAATATAGTATGAATGATGTCTTTATAAAAAGGAGAAATTTGGACACAGGCACAGGCTTACAGGGAGAACGCCATGTGAAGATGAAGGCAGAAATCAGAGTAATGCTTCTATAAGACAAGGAGCCCCAGTGATTGCCAGAAAACCACCAGAAGCTGGGGGAGAGGCATGGGGCAGATTCCTCCCCATATCCCTTATAGGAACTAACCTGGCTCACACCTTGATTTCAGACATTCAGTCTCCAGAACCGTGAGACAATAAATTCCATTATTTAAGCCATGCAGTATGTGGCACTTTGTTACAGCAGCTCTAGCAAACTCATACAAGCCCCTCGTGGTAACTGCTTTAGTTATGCTGCCACTTTAGCTCTTAATTTTATTTTCTTTGTCTTAGATCCAGATCCTCTACAGTCTGTAGTCATCAAGCCACTGCTAATCCTTCTATCATAACAGATCAGGCCTTCTGGGACCCAAATCAGGACACACACCCTGAATCCCCACCTTTCCAGATAGAGTTCTGACACTGGTCCTCATTGGGCTGTTACCTCCTTAGGAATCCATTCCATGTTTTATTATCATCTTGAATCCCACCAATTATCACAGTGCTTAAATCATAGCCAGTGTGTTTGTTGAGTGAACAACAAAATTAATGAACTCGTCATTCCTTATCTATTTTTCCCTTTAGTAAATGGGAAAACTCCAGGGCTTTTGACCTTCTAGTTGGTGTCTTTTTGTCAATACAATGAGTAGTTTATTTGGGAAGCATCTGTTTTTGGATCACATTACTCTGTAAATGCATATTCTTAATGAAAGTGATCAGTGCAGATCAAGCTGACATTAACGCTAAAGATATGGAGGATTGCTTTGGTGTGCAAATGGAAATGGTTTGGTGCCGGGGGATAATGAATACATGAGAATTAGGACTGCATTATTAAACTGAGGGGATGAAACTTGTCATTAGTTCCTACTGCTTCTTGGAGTTATTGTTAATAGCTATTTGAGTGAGGAGACAGGAACATGTGGAGAAGAGGATGTGAGGAAACAAATGTGTAGATAACGTCTGCTCACTGAGATATGTGGTATTTGGAATTGATCATCCTGCAGCTTTTGCTGAGAGGCTAGTGATTTTGAACTGATCTGTTTCCCCAAGCTCAATTGGAGGTGCAAGCAGCTGACAACTCTGCAGATTCCTCCTAGTGTCTGCAACAAGGCTTTGATTTTCAATGAAATGCAAACTTTACGTGCCATACTTGGGTGCCAGACCCTAAAGAATGATGATCTTTGTTTATCCAGAGACAGATTGTTCATGGAAAGAATGCTGATAAAACTAGCTTAGTCCTTTCAGGTCCCTATAACAAATGCCATAAACTGGGTGACTTATAAACACGCACTTTGATTTATGTCTCATAGTTATGGAGGCCGAAAAGTCCAGGTTCATGGTGTTAGTGTATTCTGTGCCTGGTGAGGGTTTCCTCATAGACAGCCATCTCTCTCTGTAAACTCACATGGTGAAAGGGGCTGGCTAACTCCCTAAGTTCTTTTTATAAACATACTAATCTAATCATGCCCCCAAAGTCCCCACCTCCTAATATGACCTCCAGGTTTAGGATGTTGACATAAGAGTTTGGGAAGGACATGAACATTCAGACTGTAGAGCAACCCAAAATATTTTGAGAAAGAGACACCATTTATATTTAAGCAGGGACAGTAGCATAACCTGGGTCTTTCCTGAGCAAGCTAGAGAACACCATCATCCTGCTGATGAACTTCTTAAAGTCCTATTAAAATTCAGCTGTACTCAATCCTGTGTTTTTTCTATCAGCATTAACCTAGTAATCTCCTCTGCCAGGGACTTCCCTTCTCTTTATAGAACTTCATACAAAAAAAAAAAAAAGCTTCTCCATAAATATCCAACATATTTTTTGCAATCTGTGTTATTTCATGACATGACCCAAAGTTTCAAAATTACTTTTAATTTTCTCACCGTCCACCCAACACCCACCATGCACAGTTCAATAGGTAGAGAAGGAGAAAAGAATAGGCAATCAATTTAAAAATTAAACTACTTATTAGTGGATATCCAGAAGACAACTTGGAAAGGGTAGTAACTAGTGGGAAATGCAAAGGGTTCCTTCAAGTGGTGATGCAGCAAAGCACGTGGCATTTGGAATAAAAAAATAGTTTGAATTCCAGCTTGGCTTTTCTTAGATTGATGATGCTGAGAAAGTCACTTCATGTCTCTGAACCACAATTTTCTCACCCACTAAACGGGGTATCTTTAGATAGATGGGAAGGAACTTTTGTCAGGACCCAAAAGAACAGGGAATGGGAAGGACAAAGACAGTGCAGGGCCACACATCATAGAAGAAGCTCATAGTGAAGGCAGTGACTGCAGATGCCAGGGTGAAAGAGCAATAGGCAAGAACCATTACAATACATCCAAGAACATGCAGATACCAAACCACTGTCCTTCTAGAAAGACTAACCTGTCATTTGAGACAAAAAGAAAGCTGGCAGAAACTTAGCCTGAATTTGGTACATTTGTGTTACAACAATGTAATATACTATTTTTCATGTAAATATAGTGATGTGGCTCTATAAAACTCAAGGTAAGTTTTTCTGAAGAAAAAAAAAATTTTAAACTGTGAACTTCACCTACCAAGGTTAACAGAAACTATAGTATCTTATCACTTTTCAGGAGCTCCTCCCAGCTCACAGGAGGCCATAATAGGTCTTGAGGCTCATGCTGACCTTGAAGCTAAGAAAAGCTACAGGTCCTTAGTCCTGGTGGCCATGCTTATGCTCCTTATTCAGACCAGTATCTTCCTTTGGAAGATGATGGCTGGCTCTGCTTCTCTTCCTGCCTGATAGGCAACAACCACCAGAGAAAAGCCACCACTAATTGGAGCAATTGTTTCCACCTTTTTGTTCCAGGTAATGAACTTCCATTGAATGTGAGCTATTGCATATGCTTACATTTCTTTTGTTGTCATTCTTACAAGAGTTTAACCCACAGGGACTCACACAAACTTCCTTATGCTTCTCTATGGTTCAACTTCTGTACTATGAGATAAGTACTTTTCAGAAGAAAAGGCAGAAAACCTGTCGATTCATTTACATTTCATAAAGCTAATCACTAAAAGAACTATTGTGAAAAATAATCCCAGGTCGAGTACCAGAGTCATAAAACACAGAACAGTGTTAT